TTACCGGCTTGTTTACGGTAACTAGATCGCGGATTTGATGCGTTTATGATAAATAAATTAAACAATTATGATTCGTTTCCGATCGTATCGGTTTTTTGACTCACCGAATAAAGTATGTGCGTGTATCGGGCATGTTCGAAGAGCTGCGTTCTCTGAACGAGTAGGATCGACGAACTCGTTCTAGAAATCGTTTGACCATTGTTTCGCATACGTCGAGCGTTTCTCCAGCTTCGTTCGCATTCCGCGACACTAATTTCTCAAGCGATTTCGCGCATTACGACCCGAATCTCGCCGGGTTTCATCACCGATTGTCGTTATCGTATTGGCAGGCGGTGTTTCGCAAGCGATTCGCCGATATTCACACGGTTCTCGGTTCGCCGTCAAGGTGGACCAGCTGTTTATTTGTATACAAATCGTTTCTTTCGAACGTGGCGGATCGAACGATTGCCGCGCAGCGAAGTATACGTAATATATCTATAAGTACATCCATCTATAATTATATCCATCTATAAGTATATAATATAACCAACAATACTTGGCTGTAAGTATATAAATTGGAACATAAAATTTAATTAGCACTTCGTCGAACTTAATAGCTTCCCCGATGGAACAAGGCAAATTTTGTTTCTAATATGTCCTTCGACTGCTTGAATGAACTGTATTGAATTTCCTTGCGGACTACAAGTGCGCCTTCAGTTACTTATATGCCTAGACTTTCATAACAGATGAATTAAACATTGTTTCGATTTAGAAAGATTGAATAGCATTCGTATTTAATACGAACAGTTGACGACTTGTTGTAAATAATCTCTGTTGCTACTGTAACAGAGATTGTGTTTCCTTAAACGAAATTACGACGCTATTGAAAATGTCAAACGACATTCGAATAATGTTATACAATAGCGGCTTCTTCCTGTTAAAACTATGCCGTCCGCAGATCTTAGATATGATTCTTTTGTTTGACGCCGGCGTAATAGCTTGGGAATTTTAGATTTAAAAAAGAATTTCGAAGATGGCGGTAATATGAATTCCTAAAATTAAGATAAGTCATCCAAGAATTTTCGTACTTAATTCTTAGCTAAATAAGCACAATGCTATAGTTAGTTTGCTGCCTTTTAACACCCAAGAAATATAGTTCAAATGTTATTTCAGTGTTTTAAAATGGCACCAAAGTGGTACTACCGGCATACAACAGATAGTTTTTGNAGCGATTTCGCGCATTACGACCCGAATCTCGCCGGGTTTCATCACCGATTGTCGTTATCGTATTGGCAGGCGGTGTTTCGCAAGCGATTCGCCGATATTCACACGGTTCTCGGTTCGCCGTCAAGGTGGACCAGCTGTTTATTTGTATACAAATCGTTTCTTTCGAACGTGGCGGATCGAACGATTGCCGCGCAGCGAAGTATACGTAATATATCTATAAGTACATCCATCTATAATTATATCCATCTATAAGTATATAATATAACCAACAATACTTGGCTGTAAGTATATAAATTGGAACATAAAATTTAATTAGCACTTCGTCGAACTTAATAGCTTCCCCGATGGAACAAGGCAAATTTTGTTTCTAATATGTCCTTCGACTGCTTGAATGAACTGTATTGAATTTCCTTGCGGACTACAAGTGCGCCTTCAGTTACTTATATGCCTAGACTTTCATAACAGATGAATTAAACATTGTTTCGATTTAGAAAGATTGAATAGCATTCGTATTTAATACGAACAGTTGACGACTTGTTGTAAATAATCTCTGTTGCTACTGTAACAGAGATTGTGTTTCCTTAAACGAAATTACGACGCTATTGAAAATGTCAAACGACATTCGAATAATGTTATACAATAGCGGCTTCTTCCTGTTAAAACTATGCCGTCCGCAGATCTTAGATATGATTCTTTTGTTTGACGCCGGCGTAATAGCTTGGGAATTTTAGATTTAAAAAAGAATTTCGAAGATGGCGGTAATATGAATTCCTAAAATTAAGATAAGTCATCCAAGAATTTTCGTACTTAATTCTTAGCTAAATAAGCACAATGCTATAGTTAGTTTGCTGCCTTTTAACACCCAAGAAATATAGTTCAAATGTTATTTCAGTGTTTTAAAATGGCACCAAAGTGGTACTACCGGCATACAACAGATAGTTTTTGCATGGCACCAGCGTGGTGCCACCGGACGGCATAGTGTTAATATACAATTTTTGCAATATTCTGATATCCAAACGTTCTATTATCTAATTACCGTATTATTTAGATACATTATCACTTAGTGGAGAACTTGAGTGAAATGTTTCAATAACAGAATGTTTTGTTACCATGATATTGCAAAAATGAACGGTCAGATAAAAGAGTCTCTATCGCACTTCGAAAATTACGTTTCGGCCAACTATTCGAGAAAGGGGGGTGCCACTGTGGGAGGTCGCGGCACGTCGTCGCCAAGGTCCGCGATCGGCATTTCGACGCGTCGTGGTTTCTTTCGACAAAGAACGGACCGCTTTCTTGCGTAACGAGCGTAAAATATTAGCGAACCGGCGTTCCTCTTTCTCCGGTCGACCGTAAACTAGCGGGAATATTATTTCGTAGGTAACAATATCCGAAGTCCCTCGGTTAAATTGTATCCGCGCGAAACTCGATTATGCAAATGGCGGCTGCGGCTCGGAACGAGAGGTGTGTCCGGCAACGGACAAAGGCTTGATCCGAGTTAAAAAGAAAAGGGCGGTCGCGTCTGGTTAACGGAAAATTTCTCCGGTCGAGCACACACGATCGGCGCGGTGCGGCGCGGCGCGACGCGGCGAGGCCGCATGGCAACGTCCCGTTTTCTTCTCTCGCCGGCCGAACGAGATCGTTCGAGAAACGAGAGAAACACGAGAAACGGCCGCGCGTAATCCAGCCTTTAAAGAAATTCAGGTCGGAGTTTCACGGGAAGGTGAGAGATAAGCGACCGGTGACCGTATGGTAACGGAATGAACGGGAGGAGGCGTTCGGTGAAAGGCCTGCCGATGCCTCCGCGGGATTACGCTCGCGTGCATGTCGTTACCAGCACGCCCGTGGACACCCATGCACGAGCATGCACCACCGCGTGCACCTTCCCGGACGATGCATCGCGATCAACAGCCGCGTTCTCGAACTTCGAGCCGATCGAGGCGCAACGGAACGGTGAACCGATGGGAAAAATCCTGTCCTGGGAATTCGCGAATTTTACCCACTTAGCGGCGCGTTTGTCGGGAAACGCGTTTCTCGTTTGCTCGAGCCGCCGACCATTCGCCGTTCGCGGGTCGAGGTACTTGCGAATCGATAACTAAAGTCGCATATGCTTTCGTTCGAATTTTCCGTATTTAATGCAGTCAGCGTCAAGCCTGTTTTCTCCCCCCTTCCGTTTAATCCGCGAATTTCGTTTTAATAATAATTATTAATATGTTTTTTTTGTAATAAATAATACCTAGATATATGCTTTTGTGATCTTTAAATTATTTAAGATTTATTTACGTAGGAGAATGTAATTTTTTTGTTGTACATTGTCAGTCAACGGATTTTATTTAAATATTTTTAATTTAATTATTGATTCTTATTTGAATTTGTTAATAATTTAATTTATTTAAAAATTATAGAGCCACAAATGGGGTAAGATATCTAAATAAATTCAGTCTTGTAATTCTTATAAAACAATACACGTCAGACGTCTTTAAAGTTCGGCCCATTCTCGTATATTTATTATTTCCTTAAAAGATGAGATCTTCATGTTTAAATATTTATAATACTTATCAAGTTATATTATAGTCCTTTCTTAAATGTACATTTAAGCAAACAAATCTCTGAAATATTTGAATGCTTCAAATAAAAAGAAAGAAATGTATTCACATACCATAAGCACATTTCAATATTCGTCAACAAATAACAATGTTTCGCACGGATCATTTTCACCGACACGGTAGGTTTAGTGTAAATGGCCTCAGCACATGAAAAACAGTGTAACAAGATTCTCAAATTCCGCCGATGCCTCCATCGCTTCGTATTTCGCCTATCAAATTTGCCATAAACGCATAAAATCCCCGGTCTAATAATAGCATTTACAAAAATGCGCGTAGCCAACGAGAGAACCGCTTTTTACTCGCGGCATTTATCGGAGCCTTGCAACGTAATCGCGAACAATTATCGACCGTTGTATCCCGTCTGTACACCGGCTAGATTCAATAACATAAACGGCACTGATCCGAAGCCGACATTGGAAAAAGCACGATTGCCTAATGAGTATCGGTGCGGCATATAATATTCGCCACGTCGTCGCCGCCAGTGAGCCTCAAAGGAATAATTGATGACCGGAGCGTGGACACGACGAAGGTTCCGATTCAAAATTCATTAGTCCTTATGCCGTTTCTCTATGTAATTGTCAGCTGAAAATATAGCCGGTACTATACAGGCAGTCCTTGGCCGGCGAAGGAAGACGCAACGCCGGATGATTCATTATTGAACGGTATCAAAACGGTAGTTCCATCGCGCGAGAACGCGAAACAGTTAAAGCCGATCGATTTCGGCGAGTTTGTAATCTGAACGCATTTGGCAAGCGTAAGAAAGATTGAGAACGCGCGCGGGCGATGGTTCAGGTGAACATCGATCGCTAACGTGGAAATTCCGGCGGATCTGGTAATTTGATATTTCCTCGAATCCCGAATTCGCACGATCGATTATGTTTGCTCGTTCGTTCCTCGACCACCCCGATTTCCAAATTGTAAATTTAAGATGCAAACAAAATGCAAAGAACAGAAACTAATAAAATTAAATTAAATTAATAAGATTCGATAAGATTGAATTACACACACGCACATACACGCACAAGCACACAAAGAAACAAAACTAACAGTAACTTTTAAATACCCAAAAATCTCGCAGTCTTAATGAACTAATAACTGTTTCATTGAGGACCGATATACATATATTTTGCGAAGCCGTCGAATCTAGTAGTTCTGGTCAGGTATCGTTAACGCAATTCCCGTGTGTTTTAGAAGTTCGGAGGATCATGGACCGAGCGGGGGTAGTGGGGGAGGAGTCAGCGGAGTCGGAGGAGGCGGCGGTGTCGGTTCCGGCATCGTCAGCGGCGGCGTTGGCAGCGGAGGAGGCGGTAGCAGCAGCGGCGGTGTCGGAGGCGGCGGCAGCGGAGGTTCCGTCGTCGGAGGCAGCACAGTCGGAAGCGGAATCGGAATCGCAATTGGAATCGGCGGCGGCGGCTGCAGCAGCGGTGGCGGCGGCGGCGGCGTCAGCGGCGGTGGTGGCGGTAATGGCAACATTAACGACAGAGAGAGGGACAGAGAGCGGGAGAGGGAGAGGGACAGAGATCGAGACAGAGACCGAGAGAGGGATCGGGACCGGGACCGTGACAGAGACAGGGAGAGAGAGAGGGACCGGGAGAGGGAGAGGGAAAGGGAGAGGGACCGTGAGAGGGAACGAGAGCGAGACCGTGACCGAGAGAGAGGAGGCGAGGGCTTCGAGTCACGCGGCTCGCACGGCAGTTTCTACACCAGCGAGAGAAGTAGCCGAGGGGTCGGATCCGGGGGTGGTGTCGGTGGTGTCGGCGGCGGCGGCGGCGGCGTCGTCGTTGGCGGCCATCCGGCGGATCCTTCTGCCGGTGATCCTGGCGGCTACATACCCCGCGGCCGTCCACCTCCTGCCAGCTCTTACCACGTGACATCGACCAGGGCGAGGGATCGGCTTTACTCGAGAACCGGCCCGTATGCCTCCGGGCCGCCGCCCCCGCCCCACTTAGATCGTCATCGCGGTGGCCTGCCGCCGTCCTCCTGGTCGGCGTACGAGTCGACGACCTCGAGATACGGGAACGCACCGCCGCCACCCTCGCCTGCCAACAACGACGCCTACCAGGACGAGCAAGGTAATTGCCCTTATACGTGCCATGCTGTGCTGAGCCGCGCTGCGCTGCGCTCTGCAGAGCTCCTTCTCCTATAGCACCACCAGCTTCAACTCCGCTCCTCTCTTCCTCAAGCTTTTCGCTTCCAGCGAGACCACGCTTTTCCTCCCCGTACCTCCGCGTCTGCGTCCGCGTCCGCGTCCACGTCCGCGTCTGCGTTCGCGTCTGCGTTCGCGTCTGCGTCCAAGTAGCCGTGTGTTGTTTCCGCAGGTGGACACACACATGTATCTCCATCTACGTGGCTCCACCATGTACGTGTGTCCACGCGTCTGCTCCTTTCAGATATAGCTTGCTCGCCTTCTCATTCTCTCTCTCACTCTTTAGAAAGANCACGCACATACACGCACAAGCACACAAAGAAACAAAACTAACAGTAACTTTTAAATACCCAAAAATCTCGCAGTCTTAATGAACTAATAACTGTTTCATTGAGGACCGATATACATATATTTTGCGAAGCCGTCGAATCTAGTAGTTCTGGTCAGGTATCGTTAACGCAATTCCCGTGTGTTTTAGAAGTTCGGAGGATCATGGACCGAGCGGGGGTAGTGGGGGAGGAGTCAGCGGAGTCGGAGGAGGCGGCGGTGTCGGTTCCGGCATCGTCAGCGGCGGCGTTGGCAGCGGAGGAGGCGGTAGCAGCAGCGGCGGTGTCGGAGGCGGCGGCAGCGGAGGTTCCGTCGTCGGAGGCAGCACAGTCGGAAGCGGAATCGGAATCGCAATTGGAATCGGCGGCGGCGGCTGCAGCAGCGGTGGCGGCGGCGGCGGCGTCAGCGGCGGTGGTGGCGGTAATGGCAACATTAACGACAGAGAGAGGGACAGAGAGCGGGAGAGGGAGAGGGACAGAGATCGAGACAGAGACCGAGAGAGGGATCGGGACCGGGACCGTGACAGAGACAGGGAGAGAGAGAGGGACCGGGAGAGGGAGAGGGAAAGGGAGAGGGACCGTGAGAGGGAACGAGAGCGAGACCGTGACCGAGAGAGAGGAGGCGAGGGCTTCGAGTCACGCGGCTCGCACGGCAGTTTCTACACCAGCGAGAGAAGTAGCCGAGGGGTCGGATCCGGGGGTGGTGTCGGTGGTGTCGGCGGCGGCGGCGGCGGCGTCGTCGTTGGCGGCCATCCGGCGGATCCTTCTGCCGGTGATCCTGGCGGCTACATACCCCGCGGCCGTCCACCTCCTGCCAGCTCTTACCACGTGACATCGACCAGGGCGAGGGATCGGCTTTACTCGAGAACCGGCCCGTATGCCTCCGGGCCGCCGCCCCCGCCCCACTTAGATCGTCATCGCGGTGGCCTGCCGCCGTCCTCCTGGTCGGCGTACGAGTCGACGACCTCGAGATACGGGAACGCACCGCCGCCACCCTCGCCTGCCAACAACGACGCCTACCAGGACGAGCAAGGTAATTGCCCTTATACGTGCCATGCTGTGCTGAGCCGCGCTGCGCTGCGCTCTGCAGAGCTCCTTCTCCTATAGCACCACCAGCTTCAACTCCGCTCCTCTCTTCCTCAAGCTTTTCGCTTCCAGCGAGACCACGCTTTTCCTCCCCGTACCTCCGCGTCTGCGTCCGCGTCCGCGTCCACGTCCGCGTCTGCGTTCGCGTCTGCGTTCGCGTCTGCGTCCAAGTAGCCGTGTGTTGTTTCCGCAGGTGGACACACACATGTATCTCCATCTACGTGGCTCCACCATGTACGTGTGTCCACGCGTCTGCTCCTTTCAGATATAGCTTGCTCGCCTTCTCATTCTCTCTCTCACTCTTTAGAAAGAGAGAGAGAGAGAGAGGGAGAGAGAGAGAGAGAGAGAGAGAGAGATCAGATTCGTGTGCGCGACTACACTCTATGACTCGTTCAGCGGGGACACGCGGCGGTCTCCCGTGTGTTGTCTGCCGCCTGCCCGCGGCCAACACGTGGTCATGATCGCGAAGGCTCTCCAACACGAGCCCCTCACGATTTATGATCGGTTAGATAAGCGCGTCCCGAATCTCGAGTTTTGCAGTCGCGGCTCGCTTTTATCTTGTTTGCCGAAAAGCCGTTCTCCCTTTTATTCCTGGATCCGGACGCTTTTAGGCTCTGCGCGCGCCATCCATGCCACGTCATCGATCATAGATCCGACGTTACCGTTTCTTAACGCGTCGACTGCCGAACAATTGCTCCAAAACGACCATGAGCAGAGAACGATCTCTCACCACGATGCACGAACTGCAGTCGACGCGTTAATGCGCGCTTCGGTCTCTTTTCTCCTGCATGCGAGACTCTTAAGCTTTTTCGCGATATAGCGCTGGAAAAAAACTGCAACTGCGACGCCGGTTGATGGACAAGTTGGCACGTTGTGTAACAATGAAGTCAACGTGTTTACTGAACGGCGACGCAGTGGTCGGATTGCTCGAAAACGTGGACAACTTGCAAAAAACGGTTCAACTTCTTTGGAAATTTATGAAATTGTTGTTTCCTTAACAACTATATAATACAACGCTAGGGGAAACACTGTGATAGTCGTCAAGAGCTCCTTTAACAAGATTCATGATTTCATTTTGCCCGTTTTTGTCCATTTTTAAGACATTCGAGCTTAAAGTGTCAGCAACGTTAAAGCCATACATTTCGCATTTTCGATAACGTACGCGAGTTTACCAGCCTCGATAACATAAGAGTGTCGATTCTCATAAAAAATTGTACCAGTTTTTGAATTGTGATCATCTTTTTGAGAAAAGGGTGACACTCTGCACAGTGTTTGGGACGGTTTTGTCCACGTTTTCGGGGAACTGATCCGATCGTAGATGCTATAGAATAAGCGACTAGCCACCAATGGAGGCGGACTTTATTAACGTTGATAAACTGTGTGCGTGTGTAGATTACATTCGTCGTGTTGTTCCACTAGGCGGCGGTGGAGGCGGCGGCGGCAGCAGCGGCAGCGGTGCGCTACGACAGCACAAAAAACAGCGCAGAAAATCGCGAAGCGGAAGCAGCTCGCCGAGCGGCAGTAGCCGTTCCGGCAGTAGCAGCAGCAGCCGCAGCGGTAGTTCCGCCGGCAGCACTTCCGGGGGCAGTACGTCGCCGGGCAGTTCGCCGCACCGCACCGGAAATGCCGCTGTCACCGAGGACCGCAGGCCGCTCGCGATCTGCGTGCGTAACCTGCCGGCACGCAGCAGCGACACTTCTCTCAAAGACGGCCTCTTCCACGAATACAAGAAACACGGGAAAGTGACCTGGGTGAAGGTCGTGGGGGCGGCCGGTGACCGGTACGCCCTGGTCTGCTTCAAGAAACCCGAGGACGTCGAGAAGGCCCTGGAGGTCTCCCACGACAAACTATTTTTCGGCTGTAAGATCGAGGTCGCCCCCTACCAGGGTTACGATGTCGAAGATAACGAGTTCCGGCCGTACGAGGCCGAGCTCGACGAGTACCATCCGAAGGCGACGCGTACCCTCTTCATCGGCAACCTCGAGAAGGACGTCACCGCATCCGAGCTTAGGAAGCATTTCGAGCCTTTCGGCGAGATAATAGTAAGTTCATCGTTTACGTAGGATGTAATGGGTACCATTCGGAACCGGGACCAGAGAGTTCTTCTTTCTATGGCCTCGGTAGGTCGTTCGCAAAATTACCAAAAGATTATACTCGCTTAAAACTAGAACTACCAAATCAGTCAAAATGACTGGTCTCTGATTTTTTCTTTTACAGTTCCTGATGCTATAAAAATCTTTTTGTCAGAAATTTTTATATGAACTTCTTCATTCAAGCGTATATTATAATAAAAATCGTACCAAGTTGTACCAGTTATGTTTAGGGCATGGTAGTTCTAGCGTTAAAGAGCAACTTAAACGCATTAAGTGCCGAATATCAACCCCGCAAATTCCCACAATTAACTAGGTTTACAGAAAAACTGCTAGTAGATAAAGCGTTGATGAAACCGAAACTTGAAAGTTAAAATTTACCGTAGAAAATATTAGTTTAACTTGTTCGTATTTCAAAAATCGTAACAGTCAGTTTGTTCAATATATTACAACAAAAATGAATTTGAAAGCCTAGTTAGAAATCGGTATCACTTACGCGACCGTCGCGGCACTCAACGTGTTAAAAGCTTGCATCAATTTTTGTCGATCTTTGATCGCCAGAACCGATGACCAACCGATTTCGAATCTGCATTAAACATCTTTTGCCCCTCATCGTAAAGCCGATATTAATATTCGGACCTGGCGCGTGCGTTGTTAAAAAAGCTCATTCTAATGACTATGTTAATCCTCCCTCGAATGGCGTACACGTGATATTTACAATTAAGATCCGGCGATGTCGATTAATATCGCTAAGAAACGAATTTATGTCGGAAGTGGAAGATAAAATTAGATAGACTTCTTTCCTGCTCTATCTATATTCGATGAGGATCGACAGTGTCATCCTGACAGCGACAGGAAGGTAAACATAAATTTTCGATGTTACAGGAAATAGATGTTAAAAAACAGGGCGCGGTAACAAGCTATGCCTTCTGCCAATACTCCGACATTGGCAGCGTCGTCAAAGCCATGCGATCGATGGACGGCGAACACCTGGGCGCTAATCGAATAAAACTCGGATTCGGGAAGTCCATGCCCACGTCCTGTGTTTGGGTTGATGGCATTGGAGGTAAATAATAAAATGGGTCATCTTTTGAATTCTTAGGAGAATATGAGAAATTCACGGTGTACTTTTTCTTCGCAGATTGTATGTCGGAAAAGTACCTGAACATGCAGTTCCATCAGTTCGGACTGATTTCACAGGTCGTAGTAGACCGAGAGCGAGGACACGCTTTGGTCTTCTTCGAGCAGATTAGTTGCGCGCAAGCTGCTGTGAAGGAGATGAGGGGCATAGCGCTTCGAGGACGACGACTTCAAGTTGACTTTGCTTCGAGGGAATGCCAGGAGACGTTCTACGAGCACCTGGAGCGCCAGGGTATTGCCGGAGAAAAACCATGGGACACGAGGCCATCGCCTGCTACCACCTTCGATGTTGCGTATGTATAATGGGCATCTTAGTAGAACAATCAACTAAGTTCAACATATTTTATTCGATAAATATGTTAGCCATCGAGCAATGAACGTGTTCAATCTCGTATATGCGCAAGTTGTCCCGTGGATATTCGACCAATTACTGCAGTTGCAATCAGGATGTTATTTTCCTAATTTGCATTGCATTTATAGATATACATTGGTGAACCTTGCATTGTATGTGAAAGCAATTTGGGAACTTCGAAACAGTTCTTGATAAATTAGACATATTACAATGGAAATATAATTGAATTACACGATGTTGAAGTAACCTTGAAGTGAAAGGAAGAAAACACTTCAGTCTACAAAGGATTGAAGCTTGTTGTAAAGGTCAGCAGCCTTGCAGAAATAAGTCGAGCGTTGCACGGGATGTTCTTCGCGTGCGCTTACCCGGCACCCACGAATGAGAACGTGAAATATAGTACAACCGTTATTTGAAGGATTCCTTCCAGGCGGGAGCGCAGCAGTTTCGACTCCGGGGTGACGGTTACAAATTCAAGTAGCAGGTTTACCCGCTATGAGACACCCCCGAGATCGAGAACGGCAAGTTACTCCCGCACATCTGGAGGAGGCAGCACGCCGGGCGCGAGTCCAGCGCATCCGACCGCGATGACCCGCAGCAACAGGAGGTCTTATCAGGACACCTATTACGACGGGGACTACAGCGAGCCGGCACCGCGTAGGTTTCGCAGCTACGACGAGTTCAGTCAAGGCAGCGGGGCTAGTCACGACGACTATCAGAGTAGCGTGCTCGGTGACGGCAAGCTGAACGACGACGACTGTCCCCCACCGTCCCGACGCCATGCAGTTCAGAGCGTTGTGACCAGTGTGGAACCACCCGCGCCACCACCACCTTTGCTTCCACCCTCGGACATACGCCACCTTCAAAAGGAAAGGGTGCATCTGCTTGAGCAGCTCGAGGAATGCCACAGTAGCGGCGATGAGGTCGGCTTTGCCCCGAAGAAGCGAGCAAAACTTGACGGAGCGTCGACGACGATACTGTGTGAGGACGACGAACCCGAGATCGCGTCGTTGCTCGTCACCTCGCACTCGAGTAGAAAAGGCATGGACATTCGCCGTGTCAGTGACAGCAAGGTCGTCGTGCATCATGGCACGAGGAGAGGCAGCTGCGAGGGCAGAGGGCCGGGACCTTGCAAACGACGACGCGACGTCACTAGCAGGTGGGTAGAGTTATTGGTTGCACAGAGTTCTCAAGTCTCGAGGAACATGAATTGTAACACTGACCAAATAATATCCGTTCCAGGCATCATGAACACCACGACGGATCAAGGCCTGGCACCCCGTTGGTGGACGAAAGGCCCGAGAATCTGGTCCCGAGCGAACCAAGGCGGTTTCGCGAGCGTAGTCACGAAGGACCTTTGTCATTGCCTCTTCCAAGGTTTGCCACCCAGATGTTGAACAACAACAACAACAATAACAATAACAATAACACCAGTAGCAGCAACAACAACAGCAGCAGTAGCAACCGGTCAGGTAATGCGAGCTTGGCGAAGGTGGCGAGTCCACCCTGTGCGAACTTGTCGACTGCTCCGAGTCCTCGTGCGGCTCCTCAGCCCCCGGCCTCGCCGCCCCCGCGACATCCGAGTCCAAGTCCAACGAGCTCGGACAGCGAAACAGCGCCGCAATCGCCGAGTCTCGAAGAAAGGATACGGTCGCTCGACGAGAAGTACGAGAAGTGGTCCGGATCGAGGGCACTGAGCGCCGCCGGTGGCGACGCGCTTGCCAAGCTAGACGCGACGGCATCGGAACGGTTCAGGTTTCGGCACAAGCTACTCGACCTGGATCTGCATGAAGTGCAACCGTCCGACATCGTGAAGTCGGTTCTTGCCAAGCGCAGCGTGTTCGACGAAGACTCGAAGCGGCTGGAGAATTTCAGTGAGAAGTACGAGCCGCGAGAGTTCACCGGCGTGCTGAATGTCAGCTCGATGATCGGCGGCACGAGCGGTTTGACGTCATCATCGTCGTCGGCCGGCGGCTGCACCAGCAAGGTCTGTCTTCAGTATCCGTTTCCTAGTCATCCGCCTGTACAGTCAGCGAGCAGCAGTAGCAACAGCGGCGCGTCGACCACCAGCCAGATCGGACTGGGCATCGCGTCTCTGTCCTCGAATCTTAGCTTCACGACCAGCATGTCATCCTCTACGTTGAAAACAACTGACCCGCGTGCTGCAGTACAGCATAACTGCGTACATCCGACACCGGCCACGCCGATCACGCCCGGCACGTCAATCAAAACAGTTAGTCCCGAATTACCACCTGTCTCGTTGCCGATCGGTCTTGGCAGCGGGACGACAGCCAGTAGTGGCAATAGTAGCAGTTTAGCGTCAGCTAGTAGTATTCTTAGCAGCAACGGTACCGTAAGTAATATACACGTTCTCGGAGCCTCGACGAGTAGAGGATTGAGCGCGACATCGTCGGCGCCCGTCGCGACCACCGCGTCCATGGTGGCTGCGTATTCAAGCACGGTGCCGGTCACTGCGGCTGTAACGACAACCACCACGACATCGGCGTCAGCGTCGGTTACCACGCCGGCCATCACACCGTCAATGACCAACACCACCACCACGATATCGTCCTCGACCGGCCAATACCAAACTTCCATGTGCACCGCCTCAGCTACCGCCACGGTCCTACCGTCTTCCACGACGTCTACGTCGATATCTTCCTGCTCGTCGTCGCTGTCCTTGTCCGCCGACGGATCCCGTTCGCGGATGAGGAAGGAGGTCGGCAGTAATCGGGACAGCAGGGACTCCCGCGACAGCAAGGACAGCAGGGATTCCAAGTATAGCAAGGGAAAGGACTGTCAAAGGAAGTCACGGAAAGAGGATGTGGACGTCGAGAGGAGTAGCACCCGCAAGGACCGGGAGGAAAAGGAGTCCGTGGTGAACGACATCGCGGATTCTGATAGTCATAGAGAGTTCAAGGAGAATAAGGAGATGCGTTACGAGAGGAAAGAACGGGAGGAGAAGGAGAGACGTGAGAAGGACGACCGCGAGAGGCAGGAGAGGAGAGACAAAGAAGATCGTGACAGACAACAGGAGCGAAAGGAAAGAGAGGAGAGGCGGGAGAAGGACGAAGAGAGGCGAGAACGGGAGAGGCTGGAGAAGGAACGGCAAGAGGACAAACGGGAGAGAGAAGAAAGGGAACGGGAACGTAAGGAACGAGAGGAGAACGAGGCCAAGGAAAAAGAGAGGAGAGAGAAGGAGCGATTGGATCGTGAGAAACGTGAGCGAGAGGAGAAGGAACGGCAAGAGAGAAGGGAGAGAGAGGAGCGGGAGAGGCGGGAACGGGAGGATCGAGAAAGAAAAGAACGCGAGCTTCGATTGGAGCGAGAAAAACAGGAAAAAGAGCGACTCAGGAAAGAGCGGGAAGAGCAAGAGAGGCGGGAGAAAGAGGAACGAGATAGACTCGAGAGAGAAAGAAGGCGAGAAGAGAAAGAAAGGATCGAAAGAGAACGAAAACGTGAAAGGGAGGAGAAAGAAAGGCTGGAAAGGGAACGACGGAAAGAGAAAGAAGAGCGGGAAAGGGCGGAGAAAGAGAAACGAGAGAAGGAAGAGCGAGAGAGATTCGAACGCGAGAAACATGACCGAGAGAAGAGGAGAGAACGGGAGGACCAAGAGAGACGGGAGAAAGAGAAGTCCGAGCGCGACAAGAGGAGAGACCGAGAAGAGAAGGATAAAGAGAAAAGAGACCGGGATGAGAGCAGGCGGCAGCCGATCGAGAACCATCTTCACCAGTCTGTGTCCCAGTCGCAGAACCAAATTTCCCCCGCTCCGGTATCCATCAAGCGGCGATGTTCGTCGCAGGATGGACCGGCGGACGACGAGGCAAAGCGCATGAAGATCTCCGACCACCGCAGGGACAGCAAAGATCGGCCTAGACAGAACAGGAGATCCGAGGACCGGAAGCATCGAAACGACTCCCATCGGTCTAGCCGGGAGAGCAGGGAGAGCCGCGACAGTAAAGAGAGCAGTGGCTCGACGCAGACCCAGGACAGCAGGGATGCTCACAGCGAGATCAACAGGGAGTCGAGCAGGGAGAACAGAGAGAATCGAGAGAATCGAGAGAACCGAGAGAACAGGGAGAACAACCGGGAAGGGAAGGAGAAGCAACGCAGTAAGAGAAACCGCTCAGAGAAGGAGTCCAGGGAACGCAGCCCCAGGGTCTCCCACGAGTCGGACAAGGAATTCCTATCGAGGCTAGAGCTCTCTAAACGCAACGATTCGAACTCACCGAGCGAGCAGACCTCGGTTAGCTCCAATCATGCCCGCGAGATGCAGCAGCACCATCAGCAACAGGCCTCTCTGAACTTGCCAAGTGATGTTGACGACGGGCCCCTATCCACCCACGAGATACAAGTGGCCAGGCACCCGTCTGCTACGGACACCGACAGCGATGAGCCGAAGAAACATTCGATCTTCGACATCGTGGACGACGAACCTGCCTATATCAGCATGTACGACAAGGTCAAAGCACGCTCGACCAAGAACATGCAGAAGCTCGAGGAGGAGAAGCGTCAGGTGCGCCTGAAGGACAAGTTCTCGCAGCTGAAGCAGAGTCGCGCGAGGAGAGAAGAGAAGAAGCAGAGCACCTCGTGGGACGGAGACTCGGTGTCCAGCAAAGCGTTGACAGAGGACGAAGCCACGTCCGAATCTGACTCTACCAGGGCGAAGTCACTGTCTAGAAAGGGATCCAGGTCCAGAATCCACTCCGATACAAGCGAGGAGGACGAGTCCTTCAACAACAAGATTCGAAAGGTAAAGACCGAGAGGTTCCTGGAGAGCGACGTCGATCTGGGATTCGCAGATACGGAGGAGAAGCACAATCCTCTGGAGACGTCGACCGTAGTCAGCAGCGTTCACGCAAGCGTGAAGGAGGAGCTTCGTACATCGGACGATGATGAGCGGATCTCCGTCGGCTTCCGCGCCAACCACCCAGCCATTGTCGTCAACAACCACGAGAGGGACTCGCGCAAGAAGTCGCACAAGAAGAAACAGAAACGACAGAAGAACTCGTTGTCGACCGAGGACAGTATAAAAACAGAGTCTTCGGAGAGCATCGAGCACAAAAATAAATTGGTTATCAGCAGTACCATGGATTGTCGACCGAATCACACATCCGAGCCCATCACTGTTGCTAGTACTACCACCACTTCGGGGTCGACGGTGTTGGAGAACGCCGACGAGAGAATACGGTCGGACAAAAAACAGCGGAATAAGAAGGACAAGAGAAGAGACAGGAATGGAGACGACAAGGCCAAAGCAAGAAGGAAAAGGCTCAACAGACAGGAGGCCAGGGACTCGCAGCGGATGGAGGACATCTTCGGGCCATTGTCAGATGACGTCGACGACGGTCCGTCCAACACATTCTTTAACCGGCTGGGCAACATTTCGACGGAGAACAACACCTACGCATCCGACAGCGACGGCGGCCACAGTCCAGTGTTGGACGTGGAGCGAGTCAGAAGGAAAACTGAAAAGAAACGTCGCCATCAACCGGAAGACGAGAACAGCGTGGATCTGGCTGAGGCTGGTCGAGAGATCGAGGCGAAGCTGTTGGGTCTCCCAAACTCGCCGAAGTCAGACATCGCATGCGCCGTGAGCAACGATCACGACGTGTTCCGATTCACCGACGACAACGACAGCGTGGAGCAGTCGACTCCGTCGACGGTTCCAGAAAAGGTTAAAGAGAAGAAGAAGAAGAGAAAGAAGTCGAAGGAGGAACGCAGTCGGAAGGATTATCATCATCATCACCATCACCACCATCATCATCACGAGAAGAGCGGCGAGTTACCGTACCTCGGCGCAGATCCTAGTCCCCCTCGAGCCAGCAGTCCCATAATCACCAAGACCATGTCACCCACGCTACCATCTCCCAGAGAAACCTTGTTGAGTCCGATTCCCAAGGTCGCTGCGAACACTCCAGCACCAGCGATGACGCCACCGGTAAGCGGTGGGATTCAGGCCTCGAAACAGGATAAGAAAAAAGAAAAGTTCATCCCCGGCTTCGGCATAGAGATCGACGAGGCGATCCACGAGAACGCGGTGAAGAGTATCTCGGAGCCGGAGGAACGCGAAAGCAGCTGTCAATCCCGAAGCGGCAGAGAGGAGCCGGATGTGACGGTGCCAACGACGCCGCCTGCGCAGACCGAAGACAAGCCAAGGGTTGCTATCTCGCAGGAGGAAACCGAGGATGCCGTCGCCGCACTCTTGGAGGAAACCTTCGGTGGTTCTACCGAAGATTTCTCCTACGAGGGCGAGGAAGAGGACGCGGAAGTGGACGACAGTGTCGGCCCGCCACCGGAAGCACCTCAGGAGGACGTCGAAGAGATGCAACAGGCTGTTGAGAGTCTGAACCCCTCTGCCGGTGAAGGAGAGACCGACTTGAAGCCGGACACTCCCCGGAGCGAGCACGACCTGCAGATAGACACCGATACGGAGGAAGACCCGAACTACGAGACGTTCGACCTGACGCAGCCACCCAAAACGCCAGACATTCCATCGTTCTATAAATCTCCCACAAAGACTGTAAACACCATCGCCCCATCCCCGGCGGCAGCAGAAAAGCCCGTTGAAGCTAGAATCACCAGCATACCCGTGAAACCACAGAGTCCACCCGCGTCCGTTATCGCTCATTCATGGACGCTGAACGAAAAACCTAGAGAAGTTGTTAAGACCGTACCAACCGTACCGGCTGTATCAACTTCGCCAACTGTACCAACTGTTCCATCGGTCGCAAACCCAACATCCGCACCATCCGTGCCAACCATACCAACAATACCATCGGTTCCAACAATACCAACAATACCAACAATACCATCGGTTCCAACAATACCAACAATACCAACAATACCAACAATTCCAACAATGCCAACCATGCCAACCATGCCAACTATACNAGAAGGAAAAGGCTCAACAGACAGGAGGCCAGGGACTCGCAGCGGATGGAGGACATCTTCGGGCCATTGTCAGATGACGTCGACGACGGTCCGTCCAACACATTCTTTAACCGGCTGGGCAACATTTCGACGGAGAACAACACCTACGCATCCGACAGCGACGGCGGCCACAGTCCAGTGTTGGACGTGGAGCGAGTCAGAAGGAAAACTGAAAAGAAACGTCGCCATCAACCGGAAGACGAGAACAGCGTGGATCTGGCTGAGGCTGGTCGAGAGATCGAGGCGAAGCTGTTGGGTCTCCCAAACTCGCCGAAGTCAGACATCGCATGCGCCGTGAGCAACGATCACGACGTGTTCCGATTCACCGACGACAACGACAGCGTGGAGCAGTCGACTCCGTCGACGGTTCCAGAAAAGGTTAAAGAGAAGAAGAAGAAGAGAAAGAAGTCGAAGGAGGAACGCAGTCGGAAGGATTATCATCATCATCACCATCACCACCATCATCATCACGAGAAGAGCGGCGAGTTACCGTACCTCGGCGCAGATCCTAGTCCCCCTCGAGCCAGCAGTCCCATAATCACCAAGACCATGTCACCCACGCTACCATCTCCCAGAGAAACCTTGTTGAGTCCGATTCCCAAGGTCGCTGCGAACACTCCAGCACCAGCGATGACGCCACCGGTAAGCGGTGGGATTCAGGCCTCGAAACAGGATAAGAAAAAAGAAAAGTTCATCCCCGGCTTCGGCATAGAGATCGACGAGGCGATCCACGAGAACGCGGTGAAGAGTATCTCGGAGCCGGAGGAACGCGAAAGCAGCTGTCAATCCCGAAGCGGCAGAGAGGAGCCGGATGTGACGGTGCCAACGACGCCGCCTGCGCAGACCGAAGACAAGCCAAGGGTTGCTATCTCGCAGGAGGAAACCGAGGATGCCGTCGCCGCACTCTTGGAGGAAACCTTCGGTGGTTCTACCGAAGATTTCTCCTACGAGGGCGAGGAAGAGGACGCGGAAGTGGACGACAGTGTCGGCCCGCCACCGGAAGCACCTCAGGAGGACGTCGAAGAGATGCAACAGGCTGTTGAGAGTCTGAACCCCTCTGCCGGTGAAGGAGAGACCGACTTGAAGCCGGACACTCCCCGGAGCGAGCACGACCTGCAGATAGACACCGATACGGAGGAAGACCCGAACTACGAGACGTTCGACCTGACGCAGCCACCCAAAACGCCAGACATTCCATCGTTCTATAAATCTCCCACAAAGACTGTAAACACCATCGCCCCATCCCCGGCGGCAGCAGAAAAGCCCGTTGAAGCTAGAATCACCAGCATACCCGTGAAACCACAGAGTCCACCCGCGTCCGTTATCGCTCATTCATGGACGCTGAACGAAAAACCTAGAGAAGTTGTTAAGACCGTACCAACCGTACCGGCTGTATCAACTTCGCCAACTGTACCAACTGTTCCATCGGTCGCAAACCCAACATCCGCACCATCCGTGCCAACCATACCAACAATACCATCGGTTCCAACAATACCAACAATACCAACAATACCATCGGTTCCAACAATACCAACAATACCAACAATACCAACAATACCAACTATGCCAACCATGCCAACCATGCCAACTATACCAACAGTACCAGTCGAACCCGTTGACAGTAATGTTAGCGTCAGCAGTCCAGATGTAATTACTACCCAAGCACATCGGGTCTCTGCGTCACCGCCTCCGCAGTACAAGCAACCTGGTCTCGGACCCTGCAGCGTCCCAATCACAGGAGAGACACCTAGAATATCTGCAGCCAGTCCCAGACCGCCTCCCATTAGTGTGCAACCGCTCTATCAGAAGCTTCCTGTGTCACCACAGTCGCAGATGGGGCCAATGCGTCAAGCCTCTCCCAGGATGCAGAACATATCCACTGTTTGCACCACCACCGCCTCCACCCTTACTCCTCTTCCCCCGCTTGTTCCATCCAGAATCCCACCATTGGTGCCGTCACAGCTGTCGCCCAGAATCTCGCAACCATCGTCTCCCAACGGGCAATGGTCTCGCAACCCGTCTTTGAGTCCTCACATGCCTAACGTTGGCAAACCGTCACCACCGCCAACGAGGATCGCAGTTAGCGTGTCCGTCTCTTCTCTGAGACCAGAAACGCCCGGGCAGCAAATCTACTCCACCGCAGCTACTCAACAACCCGTGATCCAGCATGCTCCTGGCATGAGAGCTCTCGCTCCTAGCTATCCCAGAGGTGGCTTGCCACCGCTGACACTGAATATTCCACACCGTCCGTATATGCCTGTAAAGAGCTCCAGGGATTTAGCGATAGGTGGCAAATCGGTCATCGAAACGCTGATTCCAGTAAATCCCAACGAGCCTCCACAGCGGCTAGAGGAGCCTAAGCTCTCTCCGGCAGTGATACCTGAACCGACGAACAAAGCGTCGACGTCTCCGAAAGTTCCTTCGCCGAATCAGCCACCTACGTACATCCCAGAAACTGCTAAAATCGAAATCAACGCCAGCACATCAAGCCCGGTGTTCGGTAAACCGAGCACGATGGCGGACACCTTGACCTCCAGATGTCAGAAGCAGATGCCAGGTTCCATCACCACGGACAACAATCTACTGTCGCCGAGGCAGAAACAGGAGATGTCGAATCTCCAGTTGTTGACCACCCACGTGCCTCGATCGTCGACACCCAGTCCGGTTATAGTCGCTCATGGTCAGTCTCATCTGGTCCACAAGTCTGTAGTCCATAGCATTGGAGCATCGACTGTTTCGTCGACCAATCAGTCGCTGATTAAAACAGTCGTGCCCATTGTTCCACAACAGATTGCACCTACGGTTGCAGTTTCTATCCCAGAAGAGAAATTCGTGATCACACAGACGTCGCTTCCTTTATCTAACCAGACACACTCGCCGGTGTCGCAGAGCAGCCAGATTCCGAAGCCACACATTCCTCTGGTGTCAACCGTCTCGCAGGCTATCATCACCAGAACCGTACCATCCATCGTCTCTTCGATACCAGCAACGCCGGTGAACGAGAGCACAGTAGAGTGTCTAGAACCACGAATACCACCCGACCAGGAATTAGAGCTGGACGCTAACGCTAGAATAGCTCAGACAGCACAGCCCATGCAGCTGACTCCGCCTATTCAACCCACCCAGCCTATGGACATCATCAAAGAGGAACCTGTTGAAGTGAAACATGAAGAGCCTGCGATAAAGGAAGAGTTCCCTAACAATGAACCGCCCGAGTTCCCTCTGACGCAGCCGGTGAACGTCGATCTGAAGCCGAAACAGGAGCAGCAGGATTTGGTCAAGTCGGAAAACATCGTTCCCAAGACGGAATCTACTGACACTCTGGTTCCCAAAATGGAGATCGAAACACCGATCAAAGTAGAGGCGTTAAACGAGATCAAGGAAGAGGAAGTAGCGAAGGATACTGAGGAGGCGAACCTGGAGGAGGAGCCAGTGGAGGATCCTCTGAAGGAGCCGAGCACAGATCCTCTTGCAATCGATGTATCCAAGGAAGATCCAGCGGACAGCAAAGAGGACAGCGACTACTGGTCAGCGAAGGAGGTGAACATCGAAAGTGTGATCAAGAAGGTAGATGCTCTTTGCGACGGCGAAGGCAATGATGGCGATGAGGAGACTCAGCATGGTACAAATATTAGCAACGAGAGTCAGGAGCCTCCCAAGAACGAGTCCGAGTGGTTCAACACGGAGATTGTGGAGAACGAGAGCAAGAAGAATTTTGTAGCGAACGACGATCAAGACGAGGGCGTGGAGACTTGTGAGAGCGAGTCGACGAGAAGTCGGCGTGGCAGGACGAGAACTCGGCGAGGAGGCGGTAGCCGTGGCGGAGTGACCACCAGGAGAAGCGTGAAGAACACATCCAACGTTCCACATAAGCGAGGAGGCAGAACACCGAGAGGTAGCAAGCACCATGTGGAGAAGAACAAACTACCTGCAGACGTGTACGAATTCCATGACGACAGCGAGGAGGACAATGCTGGACGACCGCGACTGATTCTCACGATCAAGTCACCTGTGCCGAGCCTGACCGGTCCCAATGCGCAGCCATCAACACCTATAGCTGCGGTGAAGGAAGTTCCACCGGAGGAATTTGTCTCGCCCGCTGCGAACACGAGAAAGTCGAAGAGACTGGCCGAGAGGGATGGCAGCAGGAACACCATCGACGACGTGATAGAGGATGTAGTGCGTGGATCAGCGGCGAACAAGGGTCTGATTGGAAACACCGGCAATGTCCACGCCACCAGAAGGAGTACCAGGCATAACAGTGCTTCTCGACCGGTGCAAGCTACGGTACAGCTGACCGAACCCAGGAAATCGCCAAGAGGTGCAAGGAAGTCAGCGCGAAGGACGTCAGAGAACGACGACAGCAGCGAGGAGAAGGTCAAGGAAACTGTGCCACCACCGCAGGAACTGCAGATCAAAGAGGAAACCGTTCCATCTAGAGCTGAAACTCCGAAGACGGAGGAGACCAGTAGTCAGTCTGCTCCATCTCCTATCCAAAAGCCAGTTTCTCATGAGCCGATGACGCTGATTGATCCGGTGACTGGGATGCTGATACCCATGAGGGAATCAGAGGAAGGTCAATATATACCGGTTTCCACTGCTTCTGGTCAAATTGCTATGAACAGGGTCGATACAAGGAGCGTCGTACCAACAATGATCAGTGCCAGTCCAACGACGGAAGTGCTGAGACCTAAGCCAGCTCAACCGGAGAACCTTGCTGTGACTGAAGAGCCGAAGAAGGAACCGGAGCCTGTTCCGGTTCCCATTCAGCCTCAGACCAGTGTAATCACTAAACCACAGTCTCCAACCGTTCAGGTTACCTCGACAATTAGTATAGTTCCTACGGCCACGACGTCTGCCACTGTCACATCGATCACCACAACAACTGTAGCGACACCACAGACAGCACCCACTTGCTCTTCTCAGTCCAAACCTACTAGTCTCAAGGCTCACGTCTTGAATGCTAGCAAATTGGCAACACCTGTGCAACAGCCACCTATTATCACCAAACCAGCTGCTCCTAGTGTGCCCAGTCAGTCAGTTGTGCAGAACATGGTGAAACCAACGCAAACAGTGCAAAGTCTGCACTTGCAGATTCCTAGCAGTGTAGTGTCGCCCAACTTGAGTCCGAGGGCGAAGCAAGCGCCTCAGATCAGCGCCGCCAATGGAAAGGGTCAGGGTCAGCCTATGTCGCCGGTTCTGAACAACACTGGGGTTCCTCCTAATCCTAAACAACATCTATTGCAAGCTGCCAAGCAGCAGCAGCAACAACAACAACAACAGCAACAACAACAACAACAACAACAACAGCAACAGCCATCTACGATTGTGAATCTACCTCAGAAATTACCTATGAATGTTCATCCGGCTAGTGTCACGACACCAACACCCAGGATTCATCAACCTGTATCGCAGCCCACTGCATTGAAGGCAATTAATGGTCAACCTCATCCTTTGAACCCTAAGGCTCATCTACTGCAGGCGGTAGTCCCTCCAATAGTCACCGGAACGGTGGCCAGTCCACCAACTCAGCCGCATTTGATGAACCCTCAACCTGTTGGCGTTAGCTGCTCTCGACCGCCTGCACCGAAACCACCGGTAAGCTTATATTTCGCTATACGTAAAATATTCAGAAGAATAAAAAATAATGTAATTTTCTAACATAGAGAATGAAAGAGAGAACAGCAATCTAGATGAGAACGGTCTGTGTTATAGGTAACGGGTACGATGGAACCACCAAAAGTTGAAGTGTCCATATCTGGCTGCATAATGGTGCCGACCCCTAGCCCTCAGACTCGTGGAGTGCCAATCACAACATATGATGGTCCAATGGTAAGCATGCTGTTTATTGTATATACAACCTGTCGATGTTTGTTATTTTTAACTTTATAGCAACATATTTAATATGATTTTGTGTGTAATGGCACGAAATATACATTTTCCAAAATATGTAATACACAAACTAACGTTGCTTGGTTTTGGCTAGCATGGGAATGCGGGTGCTGCTCCATCATCAGGGGGCCAGTATGGACTTGTCCCCCCGCATCGATCCCAGAGTCCTCCATTGCCCCCACCTGCCCACCATCATGCTAACGCTTCTCAGGTACTTACTTATGCTAAGTTTATTTCCATTAAAATATGTAACAAACAGTCGACGTTTGAAAGGACAAATCGGAAATCACCCATGCTCGAAACATATAAAATTGAATAATAGGTGTTCTTCAGCGGTCTTTAAATTTAATTCGTCATTTCCTTTTATAGGGTGACGTCGTGAATCACTTCGGTGGCCTGACGCGTGGTGGAGAACTACCACCGCATTACATGCATCCTCAAGTGCTGCAGTATCAGTATTTGCGTGCTCAACAGGAAGCCTTGACAGCTCCGCGCATAACGTATCACATTCCAAGAACTAGATCTCCTCATCTACCGTTAGACCCGAAATTGGAGCCTGGCATAGAAGATAGTCATAGTCCGCCTTTAGAACTTAGAAGGAGTACAAAAACACCCCAAGATCGCACCACGGATAGTCCTCAAGTCGCTCAAGTATACATGCTGCACGGAGCACCAAGATTACCACCGCCGCCCCCGCAATACAACGCGGGTGGAAATCCAGCATTAACCGCACCGGCCGCTACACGCGGAGGATTCTACGAACCACCACCCGCACATCTGCGTTCTCAGTATCCAATCGCTGCCAGCGAGGCACCTAGTGACAGAGCCATCACACCAGACAGACCCAGGAAACACCAAGTGGCCACGCCACCACACGCCTCGCAAGTGCCACCGCAAGCAGACTCGTTTCAGATGTTGCTGCAACGATATCCGGTCATGTGGCAAGGTCTCCTGGCACTCAAGAACGACCAAGCTGCTGTACAAATGCATTTCGTTTTCGGTAACCCTAACGTAGCGAGGGATAGTCTGCCCTGTAACAGCGATGGCTCAACACCACCGTTGCGAATTGCTCAAAGAATGAGACTGGAACAGACGCAAGTCGACGGAGTCGCGAGGAAGATGCAAGTAAGTATAGTCATTTTCAACATGCTAATACACTAAAAATACCTTAGTTGATTAGCAGACTACGAATCTTTATGCGGACTCATATTCACCAAAATAAGAGAGACCAGGTACTGAGTTGTATTATTTCTTTTTTGTCATAGATGGACAATGAACATTGCATGCTCCTTGCGCTACCGTGTGGTCGAGACGAGGTGGATGTGTTGCAACAGAGTAAGAACCTTCAGACTGGATTTATAATGTATTTACAACAGAAACAGGCCGCTGGAATTGTTAATATTGCTGCACCAGGATCGCAACAGGTACGTGAACATTCGAACAAATAGCATTTACTAATATTTCCGATGGTAATAGTCGTCCATAAATATGTTCAGTATCAGTAATTAAACTATACTTAAATATGTACAAAAATATGATCTATCAGATCATCCCCTAATGAAAATTTCCTTTTAAATATTTAAAAGTTATGCATAAATCTAATCAGAAGCATTCGAAACGTGGAGAATAGTTCGATGGGCAGATGAGTGACAAGTTGTGTTTGATTTGTAGCCTGCATACGTAGTCCACATCTTCCCGGCGTGCGATTTCGCAAACGAAAGTCTGGCGCGTATCGCACCGGACTTACTTCACCGGGTCGCGAAGATCGCCCATTTACTCATCGTCATAGCCACGGTTTGAGGCCAGCCAGTGGTCTGCTGCTGGATTACAATCTACCGATATCTCTCGCCTTTACGCGCTGTAGGACGCTTCGCATGTGGCATGAAGCCTGGAGTGTCCTTCCGACGGAGCGCAAAGTCGTACAACAGGATAATGCTGAATAGAACAGGAGAGAGGGGTTCCGTCGAAGGGAAAGGTTTCTCCTCCGAAGATATATCTATATATCAGTGACAATCAAATGGATTTTTGGCAAACACGTGCCGATTTGACGGGATCGTTGGCCTAAAACGAGGGTACACGGGGTTGTGTTACTGTGGGGGAGGCTAGCCCTGTCAATGCGTGAACATCACCGGGCCTGTCTTCCCTCCAAAACGGAACGGTCAACGCGATCGCATTTGCCGCGATGGCTCTCGCAGTAACGTTCGCCAACTGACAACTTTTGTGAGATCGACCGACATCACTCTTGGTCCTTCTGACAAGCGGGTCAGGCACAACCCCAGTCCTTAGTGAAGACCTTCGATTAAGAGAAAACAAAACATGAAAATGACAAACCACGTGATGTCCTCAAGGCAGAAAGAATAACTTACACACGCAAATAGAGACATACACACACGAACACGAACACACCACGGACACCACGTATACACGTAATACACGTTCGTCCCTCGTCTAGGAAAACCGTAAAGAAAAAACATTACCTACCGTTGCTCTAGATGGACAGTTGATTTCGTAAGTAAGAAATAGAGAAAGAAAAAAAACTAACGTACCCCTACCACTATACACGAGCTATTTTAAGTAAGGCTTAGATATTAATGATACTGTGTAAATTATAAGCGAGCCAGCGAGGGCATAACTACTGTGATTTTAATTATTTAACGATATATGTCTGCGTAAAGACGAAGAAAACAAAAAGTAAAAACATATAAAATGGTGACCGGTGTGTCCCGGTCGCGCGCGGTATGTGATGTGTTTTTTGTATAATACTGCTCTATATAAATACCTATGTATTATATTACTGTAACAATAGTTGCTGCTGCCGCTGTTGCTGCTGCCGCTCGTGTCGAACTAGAAAGTAAAAAAAAAGAGTTACGATCTAGACACCTCTAGTGAAGAAGAAAAAAAAATGAGCGAAAGGACTACCTAAATAGCGTTTATCCCTAATGTAATATAATTTCCCATAGCAGGATGTAACATATTATTATCATTATTATCATCTTAGCACTATGTACATTATAAAAAAAATTTTTAATATTCTTATTTCGATTCTTTATTATCATTAATAATATTATTATGGTCATCATCATCACTAGTACGCTACCATTATTATTATTATTAAAAAATATTATTATTATTACTGTCATTCATTATTAATTATTATTGATTATTACTACCACTACTGCTACTACTACTATTACTACTATACTATTATCATCACTACTACTACTATTATTATTACCACTACTCTACTACTACTATTATCGCTGCTATCAATTATTATTAACGTTATTACACCAGGCTAGTTAGGACGTACCAATCCGCACATTGATAGAAGATGGGGCTTAAAGTATGTCGTACTGCAAAGAAAACTCAGTACGACCGATCTCATTGACCACTGACGTCGCCCCCGTTCTACACACTTCCATCCCCCCATTTCTCTTACCCCCTTGTCGCCTTCTGCGCGATGTGTCATAGACTCTTTAGCGATCGCGTCGAAGATAATAAAAATGCGCTTACGTGTATAGACCAGAAGTTACACTATATCACACGGAGCCGTGAAAACAAAACATATTAAGTAATATAAAGAAACTTACCTATTTACGATATTATTGCTGCTGCGTGTAGAGCGCATGCCTCTAGAGAGTAACGTTATGTAAAACTATTTGGGGATGGTCAAAACATGTTTTATTCCTTGCTATCGTGACCAATCGATTCCGAAAAAAACGACAAAAACGATCGCTCTTTTCGTCCCGATCGAAACGAGAGATCGTCGTTTTCTTCTTGCCCTTGTCATTTTTTTATTTTCTCTCTTTCTTTATGTTTATATGTATATACATATATATATTTATGTATATACATATAAACATATACAGAAATATATATATATATATATATATATATATTTCTGTATATGTTTATATNAATATGTATACACCATATATACATATATATGTATGTGTGTACATGAACGCTACACATTAATCGTTTCATTTTCACGTTAACCGGTTAATTTCATGGTACGATTCATCACGTGTACATGGCCAAGTTTCGCATAATCCGAGAAACGTTTCATAACCTTTCAAAATAATTTTGCTTGACAAATTTCGTTTCTCGAGATGTGAACGATACGCATAGTCCAGAAAAAGTCGTTTCTGTTCTGACCGTCCCTAACGAAACACGATTAATTTAAGGCAGCGCTGATACTCGTGGAGAGCGTGTGCATGTACAGTGTAAAAGATGCGTTGTGCATATGTACAGTGTAGAAGTATAAGTGAGCGAGCGAGTTGATAAGTATAAAAAAAGCATATATATTACAGCTGCGGATAAGTATAATAGGACGCAAATGGGACGCTCAAGTCGCGGTGTTTCGTTCGTTTTTCGAAAAGAAAGAAAAAGTATCTATTTACTCGGTTTCCTTTTTCTGTGCCCCTACACACCTTCCGCCCTCTCGTTCTTTCTTTCCTACTCTTCTTGCAATTTCCATATTATACATACATATGTTTATAAAGAATTTAAGCTATCCGCGACGTGCGTGTCTCTGCCTCGTGTCTTATCTATCTTGTAAAATATCTGTGAATATTATGATTTAGTTTCTTCCTATTATAGGCTACTGGTATACAAAAAAGTTTATGTTACTACTTACTTAAGGAAAAGAAATGTACAGATATCACCATTTTTTGTTTTGTGTTTTACTGTAGTTATTGATAATTATATGGATATTAACGATAATAATAACTATGATTAAAAAAAAACTTCAGCACGGCTCGACGCGTCATTTTTGAAACCCGTTGGAAAAGCGTGATTCGTACCGCTTAATTGAACACACGAACAAAATATTCACAGGGAATCATTTTATTACACGCGATCTGTTTGACGATTTATTAATGTAAGCGTTTACATTATAAATCAGTCTCTTAGAAGTTTAGAAGCTTCGTTCGAGAGGTAAAAGATTATATAAAATACGTGAAATAATGTGACAATTTATTTTACAACTTTTATCAGTACCGATTATTTGTATTAATTTCACTCGTCGCGTATCGAATCGAACATTTTCGATTATTTGTTATGTCACGAAATACGATTTATTCGTTTTCGAAATATAAGAGAAAAAAATTAATTAAATACACATTTACGAGGGCCAATAAAGAATTAAGACAAATCTAACTTTCAAGAATATTTATATAAAAGAATTGCACGGCAAATATGCGTATAATTACGAAAATCGTAAGTCTTGTAGTATTTACGCCCTCTTCGCAACGTTCGCAGTATTAGTATGCATTCCTGACTTACATTAATATTTTGTAATCGGTTATAAAAGCTTCTAACATTATTCGTGAATAAACTATTACTTTTTAATCGATAAAAGAATTAACTTGGAACATGTACATATTCTTAACTGTCCCAAAAATTAAAAAAATATATTAATCTGGTATATCTTATGATATACCATCTTATGATAATCATAATTGCAGCAACGAACATTATTAGAAAGGCTGTTTTTATTTTACAGTAGACGCAGTGCATTTTATACTTTTTTATTTAATTAATGCGTAGTTATATCAATACCATTTTTTGTTATACTAGATACTAAAATATTCCACGGCAGATAAACTACCAATAAATAGTTCCTTGATTACAAATAAAAAACAGGCGGTCATAATGAATATGAAAGGATATATTGTTTTTTAATGGTTTTACAATGAAGTAATATGTGGTTATTAACAGGAGTCAACTGTATCAGCTAGTCAGTGTGCTCGAATTGCGACGCCCGGCGCAGAGGATTTGGGGTGGGGGATAGCATCCATGACTCATGCTACACGATGAGAACATCGTGAATCACAAGCATACGATTTAAACGCGTTACGTCGCGTCGTCGCGTCAGATGGCGTTGACCGTCGTGTAGCATGTAATATGGACTTTCATGCCAGTGTCTCCTCAGTACTACCCCCACCATAAGTCCCCTGCGCCTGTCCGTCGCAATCTTACCATACTGACCAATGCTGTCCAATACTGTCAGCTGCTCTCATCCACTCTTAGATAGCGAGATGTTCACAGTTTACCGGGAACACAAACCTCAGATTAGGAAAGATGTTGCATACGATGCAAATTTCTGTCTGCAATTCTGTATTACCGATTCTATTAGAGATTCATTGATTTTCTCTCTGCGATTAAGAAACTATTCATTCAGTTACAATTGATGATCAACGATTTCCTTTCAATTAATTTCCTTTCCAACATTTAGCGTTCCTTGAATTATGTACACGATAACAGAATCGTCGAATTTTCATCTCAGCAGTGCCCATTCTTTAACGCGACGCGTTAATGATTGTTGACCGAGAGTCTGACCCATCGCCCTCTATGTAACGTAGTTTCTATGAAACGAAACCTTCGGTAATTGTCACACGTTAAAATACAATTTGCGCTCGTTGGCTTTACTCGTGCGGAGTTGTATAGTTCGATCAACCTGCAGGAACTATTGTCTGCACGTGAAAGAACCGACGATGGGCAGCACGGAAATAACGTCAGTTACGAAGAAATCAAACGACACTAATAACGAAGTTAATGACGTGTACGGGCCGAATTTGAAGATTCTTCCGTGCAACAATCAGGTGAAGGAACTGCAAACAATATTACGGGACAAGTAAGTAAACGAACTTAGAACATGTTAAACACATGTTTTTTTTTAAAGACGTAGACAGACCGGCATGGTGAGCCGGCCTCGTGTCTTTCATTTCCGATTAAACAAATTAATCATCATGACTTGTCTTTATTTGCAGAAATACCACGAGGAGCGACTTTAAATTTTACGCGGACCGACTGGTGAGTCATGTATTTTTTAAGTAATAAAAATTATCAACCACGCTATCTCGCTATTCCGATACGATATTTCATTCATTAAAACTTGTAAGAAGTATCTCATTCTGTAATAACAATGCCCGTTTTATCGAAATTCCGAATCGATGAACATTTTATGTAATTAATCCGAACATACTTATATCTGATTCTGTATTTTGTGTAAAAGTTTTTAGATGTCATTAAAAATTTGACAAGTATACTTACTGAAACTGTTGCTGAATTATCCATGTTAAATTATTAATATAGTAATACATATATATATATTTTTTAGATAAGGCTGGTTATAGAAGAAAGCTTGAATCAGCTTCCCTTCTCAAAATGTGTAGTTACTACACCAACAGGAGCCAAATATAATGGTTTGAAGTACCAAAAAGGAAATTGCGGAGTATCTATAGTCAGAAGTGGAGAAGCAATGGAACAGGTATAATTAAGCTGTCAGATAATATTGTTTTATATAACTATATAACTAATTTCTTTTATACTTTTTAAGGGTTTAAGGGACTGTTGTCGTAGCATAAGAATTGGAAAAATATTAGTTGAAAGTGATGTAGACACTCATGAAGCTAGAGTTGTCTATGCAAAGTTTCCAGATGATATATCTGAAAGAAAAGTATTATTAATGTATCCTATAATGAGTAAGTACAGGACAGTAAAGTCATTTAAAATATAATACATGCCACACACTGTGTAGCATTATGTAATTTTAATTTCTTAATCTTAGGTACTGGGAATACTGTGATAAAAGCAATAGCTGTCTTAAAGGAGCATCATGTACTAGAAGAAAACATAATTTTATCAAATTTATTTTGTACACCAATTGCAGCCAAATCTCTAGTCACAGCTTTTCCTAAGGTAATGTTTCTACAAGTGGCAAGTAAATAATAATTGCAAGTTGCATAAACGTTTTCAGGTTTTCTACATGAATATTAATATACTATATAGTGTGTGTATACTACAGTAATATAGTATAATATACTAGTTTAAATGTGTTGGTTAATCAAAAACATATAAAGTTATGCTATGATAAATATTTAATTGCCACTTACTATTATGTTAAAAATCTTATTTCTTTCTGCTCGTTTTTTAAATGTACTACTTTCCATAAAAATTGTGTTCTAGCAAACTTTTTTTCATTTAATTGGTTTTCAATTGATTTACAATGTGCAGATGGTTTTATTGCTAGTGTTACATCCATAGATTTGATAAGTTATATAGCTTGGTGGAATAGTTTTCATCCTGCCTACCCAAATTAAAAGTTATGGACAGTGGACGATAATTGAAATCTTCGAATTTGCGAAAAAGTATTTCTATTATGGTATCTATTACATGTGTGCTTGGTTAATCTAGAATTTGTAGGTCAAATTCATTTGGGTCCCTGTTTATCTAATGAATAAATTGCTAATTTATCTTTTAGTGTTTATTGGTCAGAACGAATAAATAGTAACCTTGGGAAGTGGAATATTGTCTTATCGCGGAGGGATAGCATCAGGTTATTCAGCGATCCTTCTAGAATTGGGATAATTACTATTTAATTTCTTTTGTCTAATGTTTGGTATTTTTAGGGATTTAACGAAATGTATTAATGGATTAGCCCAAGTTCAATATACAATGATATTTTTGGTACAAGCGATACATACTACACTAAAACATACACTATGTTTTACAATAATACTCACTAGTTCTCTTAGTTATCTTGATGTATTTGCTTGGGTATATTCGTTCGTCTCTTGTACGATATTTATCTCTAATCCGATTCGTTTTACTCGTAGATGATTATCTGTCTGATCGTAATCTCTTCCGGTGTTTTTATACTGGTTCGTAAGTAGCCCGGTGTTATCACGCCGCGGCTGCTCTTACCGCTTCTTGGTATCGTGTATCAATTCGCATGCCAGTTCTTCTCTTACGTTGTTCGTCCACGGATGGACATTTCTATCTTATTGTTAGTGTCGAGTTCGGCCGATCTCAGTCAAGTTGCGAATATTTTATTTTTATTAAATTTTATTATAATATTTAGGATATGGTTATTGGTTGTGGCATGAATTTTGGCTTTGATGGGTAGAGATACCAGACCCACGGGACGTGACACTTATATTAACTAAATTATTATGTATGTAGTACTATCATAGCAGGACAAAAGTAAGCAGTTCGTAAATTAAGTTACATTTATAATTTTCAAATAGTTGCTAATATTTTTTATGAAACTGTGTTCCCTTTTACAGATGAAGATTTTAACATCGGAGATTCATAGTGTAGCCCCAAATCATTTTGGACAGAAATACTTTGGTACGGATTAACTAATTTTTATTAGTCTTTAGTACAATAAGTTAGTACGTACTATAGAAAGAGAAAGTAACAGAAAATCAGTCACAGAAGATAGAATACTGCTTCGTGACATGAAATAATATATTTTATATAGGAAAATATTACCAAAAAATGTGTTATAGTATTGCCAATGCTAATATCTATAAATTGTGTTAGACTAGAATTTTGTGTATTCCATGCATAATTAATTATTATTTCTTTATTATTCTGTGAACTAGCATTTGATA